ACAGGATTAAAAAAATTTCATAATACGATTATAAAAAATTTATTTGCTTACCTAGTTTCGCTTCATCAAGCTCTGCACATACTTCGTTATACGCAGTCTCCAATTCCTGAAATTGAGCTTCGAAATAAATAACGTCATTACGCAAAACATATGACCTACCTTCAAATTTCCTTAAATTTTCTTTCAAACCCCTCTCCTTTGCCTGTTGGTAACTCGACGTATCAACATATTCAGGATCCTTATCAGTTTCGTACAGGCAGTGATTGCACATCTTCGTTCCCGGTAATAAATCAAAAAATTTAACAAGCCGTTCTGAAGTTTTCTTTAACTTCTTTCCTTCTTTACTTTTTCTTGCTGTAGATCTGTATAAATCGTGTTTAGGATGAGAACAAGTGTTAGCTTTTTGATTTTTTGGATTTACTATTAACCGATTATAATGCTTTCGGCATAATTCTTTGCCGGCCAAGTTCAGATGTTGGCTTGAACTTGGTATTGTAACTCTATCAGATACAAGAGATGTGCCAAACTTTTCATAATCACAAACGACATCATCTTGACTCTCTAGATCACAGTATTGAGCCTTCCTTTTTCCCTTTTTTTCATTTGAAAGAGGAGTTTCGTCGTTGTAAGGTTTTGGTGTGGCCATTTTGCGTCTATTTCTGCTTTAATCAATTGCCTGTAATAACGAACTAAAAAAAAACTCTTCTTAGCTAACTTCTGAATTATTTCGTGGATTGCTGAATTATTTTGACAGCTTATAGAGCAGTGCGTATACTATATAGATTTTTTATCGTAACCTCTGCGAATTTGTTCCTGAGGCTGCGAATTCCATTTTTGTACTGCGAAACGTTACGCTAATATGTAAAACATATTGTGTAACATTGTGATCGTCCAGCCAATCAAATTTTAAGTTCGCTATGCTGGCACCACTAAGTTACTATACCAATCCGTGTACGTACGACGAAGATAAATGGATGTCTAATAATAGATGTTTGTCTCATGCTAAATATAAAATTCTACCTTTTTCTTGAAGTTTTAGTAGTCGGAGTTTATAAATTTCTTTATTCAACATGCAAAATGATGACTGGAACAAATATGAACTAGTTAAGAAAGAAACCAAAGGTGTAGTTGAAATTAAACACTTAGCAACTAATGAAGTGACACATAAAAAGTTTAGACAGAAAGTAAGCTCGTTGATTTGCTTATTCATTATCTTGGTCTATACGTGTAATTTTTATTACATTTTTGTTTTTGACCTGAAGGCTTTCTAATGCAAATAATAGGTTCCAGGTGGTTATTGTTCAAAATTAATTGAGCCAATAACCGAGGTGATTCTAGCAGAAATACAGGGGGATAGTTCAAAAGCGAAATTAAAAAAAATTTTATTATATCAGGTACATTTAGTTGAAATATGATTTATTTGATTGCATTTTTTTTTTCAATATTAATATTGTGCTATCATTCAATTAATAACAGCCCGACGATAGTGTCGAATTAAAAGATTCAGGAATATTTAGTTTTGAACATAAATTTCGATGGGAAAATGAAAAATTCGTCTGGAAAAAACGTGCCTTCTCCAAGGATTTGGAATGTAAAATGGTGCAGTCTGGCGATGAACCAAACATGTGCATCGCACTATATCAACCGAAAAACAAAAACGTTGGAACAGTGAATATTATGAGCGATAACATGAATCGTCTTAATATTCAAGATCGGCGTGGACTTGAATACGTTTTATTAATGTCTATATTGTCATTTTTGGATAAATCGGATGATGATAGTATTTCTAAGGATAAAAATGAATTTATTTTGGGAGAAGAATCGAAAGGGGAATTGAAAGAAGAACCAAAAAAGGTAGAAGATCAAGAAAGAAAGAAAAAAGAGAAAGAGAAGAAGAAACATAAAAAACAAAATGAAAAAATTGTAAAAGAATTGGTTGAAGAAGACAGATCACAAAAAGTGAACCAAGAAAAGAAGGATGAAGAATTAACAAAGAAAATAGTGGAAGAACAAAAAAGTTCAATAGGCACAACGGGCACAACAGGCAACTATACTAGAAAGACACCAAATTCTTTCTCATCATCTTCACCCAGTTCATACCCACCCCCGTCATCAGATTCGAACCGTAAGCAGAAGCTGGCAAAGCACAAACCTAAAGAATATACAGGTGAATATGGATGGTAAAAATTTAAGAATCATTTGAATCATTGGATCAATGCTTGTGAAGTTTATATATCAGCGTTTTCATATTATTTAATTTGTTCATGTGCATGCATGTCATATTTTTTTTTTATTGTACCTCATAGAAATTGTTTATATTATTTGTACGAATATAACATTTGACACACATGAATGTATATATACATTTAAAACATTACATTTTTGATATATTGGTAAATAAATTAGATCATATTAGTATAAAACCTAATAACATATTCATATTAAAGCTTACCACCCTATAAGCAAAACCTACCCACATCTAACTCACTGTTTCTTTACCTTTACCTAGTTGTGCATACATTTTTTCTACCCTATAATGAACAGTCTTTAAAGTTACATTTGTTGTTGCTAGTTTCTTTGTAGCAGAAATTAATTTTTGAATAGAAGGTTGAATTGAAGGTTGTTCGGTTGCATCAACGAATAGTTGAAGCTCTATCATTAGAACATTTAATTATAATATTTAACCATTATTGAATAAAGAACGTGTTTGGGAATAAGATCCAATATACCAGCTAATAGTCTTTCGATTTCTTTGTTTAGTTCTAACTGACTTGATTTAACCGCAACAATCCTAGAATCCATTTCTTCAATAACGGGAGTCAAAAGAGCCATTAGCCCTTTAGAAAATTTATCCTTATCTGTCAAAGACATATCATCAAGTTTTTCGCTAGGTTCCATCCTCGAATGAGAGGTTTATTTTATCGTTACAGGCGGCACATAATAAATTATCGTTATTTATGGAAAAAAATGTGTTAATGTCATTGGGCAAAGGTCCGTGTTACTTGGATCGATCCACGGTCTGCGGTCCGATCTAAGATATATTAGCGTTAGAATTATACCGATACGTACGTACGTACGTACGTACGTAAGAATTGGCGCAGTAAATGACCGGCAAATTACTATGGTGTTTTCAACCCTGGTCACTGTAAGCGCATTTTAGAGTGAACAAAAATATGTATAATCTTTATATACCTGGAACAAAAGACGTCTGCAATTTAGAGATCATATCATTTATTAGTAGTTAAGTCCTACATTCAGAGAGCATAAAGGTGCTTGGAGAAAACCGACTGTATATATCGATATATAACGACAGCTTTTGTTACTATAGTATTATTATGAACTAATGAATTTACTAAGTTGATAATAAACGTGAAGGCTGATGCTGAAACGAATCAGATTGGTCTTAAACTTCACAAAAATGATTTCGTGTTGTACGAATCTGAATTTCCCTATATTTGTTTTTAGTCATTGATTTATAATGAAATACTAATTCTAACCTGAAGACTTAAATGCATGAATAAACTGGTGCATTCACGCATATTGCGCTCATGCAAATACACGAAAAGTTCCGAATATACATGAATATTAAGATGTAAATCTCAAGTTTATATATTAATTTCCATTCTTGGATATGTCTATGCATGACACTTTTTTTCACTTTCACACAATTCGTAAGAATTTTAAATATTATAAATAAAACAGACAAGATTATTAGATTGGTACTAACTTATCTTGAAAAGCTCGTGCGAAATCCTACAATCATTCAAAAACAGATACTTGGGTTATATGGATCCCTCTCCAATGTGGAATGTTCCCTTCTTCACTATTTCTCGTTGTTTTTTTAACCATTTGCGATAATCTGCAACTGATTTAATTTTTTCGCCATAATAATCGGGTGCTGGATTACGAAGCGTGTGTAATGATGGATCTGCTCTATTCTTTTTTACATGCTCATAAAATTCACGATCTCGCTAAACAATATTCAAACGATTATAAGATAAATACATAATTTTCAAATTATATCAAATATTACTAATCACATGTTCTATTTTACCTGCTCCATTAATTTTACTTCTTCTCGATGAAATATCTTCCAAAGAGAACTTCCAAGGATTGGTCCGATTAATAAGCCTGACAAGCCACATACTAAAGTGCCAATACCATATATAATAATCGGTTCTTGTCCAAATATTGGTGTCGGATCGAATTCTCTAGTAGCAACATATGCAAAGCTCAAACCAAAGCCCCCGAGTGTGGTTGGAATGGTGATAACGCGTTCTGCGATTCTCCGCCGCCGTCTTAACATAAAGTAGTCATTCCAAGATAAAGATTGTCCCGGAAGTACTTTGGTGCTACGAGTGCTACGAAATATTTTCGATATATTCATCATGCCGAAAGTGCGAAACCAAAGGTTCGAAAGTTAGAATCCTAGTGTTACCAATCTAAAAAATTCCGCTAAAAAAGTTCGTTGTGAGACTAAAGTTAGGTTTTATTTATTAGATTAGGTTAGAAAGAATTACTAACTATATATAACAAAATTTCACGAGAAAAACTTTTTGCTAGTGCGCAGAAGATGGTTTAATAGGTGAACTTATGAGATACGAACGATTTTGGGATTGTCTTTATCGTTATTTTTGCGTTACACCTGATCTTAAATTTTAATTGGACAGTCACTTCAATAGCCCACTGAAAGCTCTCTAATTAGTCTGCGTATATAAAGAACATTTATCAATCAATATATTTGACCATCTTAAGATTAATATTTACCATTACACGATGCTCTTATTTCACTAATTTACAAGTATAGAGAACATTCATTAATTAATGTATTTTACAGTTTTAACAATAAACATCCCACTTTCTTCAGAATACATAGTTTCGATTGCATTCTTATAGATGTTTTCATAAATTTTGGGAGACCGAAAATCTGTTATTCCCGAGAATTCTTCGGTCTCGCCTTAAGAATCGTAAACTAATCGTTATCTTTAGAACTTTTAGTCAGAAGATAACAACTTAATTCCTGGTAAGTGTGCGATTAAGACCGAAGAGATTTTTCCGAGAACGGACAATTTTTTATTTTATCCCAGAAGTTGAGAATAACTATAGCATTAATAGCAATTTTACATTGGGAATTTCGATAAATTCTTTCGAAAATATTTTGCTGTTCGATAAATCTAAAAGTATTCTAGGAAAACTGAGCAATTGAAGAGGAGACAAGTTTACTCTCGATGCGATCATTATCGTTATTAAATTGAATCTTATCTTATCGTTATATCTGATATGGCTAGTGAATTTTATGATTTGATGAACCAATCGAATCTGTCCGATCTGGTGTAACCTAATTTTTTTTTAATATATAAATCTTTTTTTTTCATCGTTACCTTTTTTAAACGTTAAAACCATGGCTTTATATAATTTTAAACGGATCCAGCCGATTCCTACGGCAAATGATTTTTTGGATATCGTGCTCTCAAAGACACAGAGAAAGACACCAACTGTAATTCACAAGAATTATAAAATTGGTCGAATAAGGCAATTTTATATGCGCAAAGTCAAATTTACTCAAGACAGTTTCGATGAAAGATTGAATGCCATTCTTGAGGAATTCCCGAAACTTGACGTAGGATTTTAATATAAACGATAAATATTTACATCAATGTTTAGGAAACTTGTCTTTGATTGATTATAATTTTTATAATAGGACATTCATCCATTCTATTCAGATTTAATGAATGTATTGTATGATAAAGATCATTACAAATTAGCCTTAGGTCAAATTAATATTGCGCGTCATCTTATTGATCAAGTTGCCAAAGAATATGTCCGTCTATTAAAATTTGGTGATTCATTGTATCGCTGCAAGCAATTGAAAAAAGCAGCTCTTGGAAGGTATGTACATTAAACGTGACGGCTTATGCTGAAATAAACTGGTACTGAAGTTTGGGGGTTCTTATTTATATATATAAAACCCACTTGTACTTTTAACTAACCATTCTAATCCTAGATCCTAAATCCCAACTAAATCATAAAAAACAAAAAAAATCCCAAAAAAATTTCAAGATTAATTAGTTTGAAATTTTAGCATAAGCAATCACATTAAGTTTTTAAAAATCACCTGTAAAATGCCAAATTAATCCCATTTTACGTATATATATATATATATAAAATAGAATGGCTACCATTATGAAACGCCAAAAAGATAGCCTATCATATCTGGAACAAGTTCGGCAACACTTGGCTCGGTTACCTTCAATAGATCCAAATACTCGTACATTATTAATTTGTGGATATCCAAATGTTGGTAAATCTAGTTTCATGAATAAGGTTACTAGAGCAGATGTTGATGTGCAACCTTATGCTTTCACTACAAAATCGTTGTTTGTTGGGCATATGGATTACAAATATCTTAGATGGCAGGTGAACAAATAGATCTATTATTAATTTAAAGAAGTTTGTTATTTGATACTCAGAATAACATGTTCCGATTTAGGTAATCGATACTCCCGGCATATTAGATCGTTCGCTTGAACAGATGAACACCATTGAAATGCAATCTGTCACAGCCTTGGCGCATCTTCGCGCATGTATCATGTTTTTTATGGACCTCTCAGAACAATGCGGATATAGTGTTGCAGAACAGGTACTACTTATTTATTTGTTTTATTTATTTATTATTATTTTAGCAGATTCATTCTTATTTATGTACATATTTATTTTTTTATAAAGATAACACTATACCAAAATGTCAAACCACTTTTTGTCAATAAACCAACATTTATTGTCATAAATAAAATTGATGTCACGAGACCAGAAGATATACCTGCTGAAGAACAAGCAATGCTAAAAGAAATTAGCGAAAAGGATGATGTTCAGATAGTTCAGCGAACGATCTAATATGCCGGGAGTATCGATTACCTAAATCGGAACATGTTATTCTGAGTATCAAATAACAAACTTCTTTAAATTAATAATAGATCTATTTGTTCACCTGCCATCTAAGATATTTGTAATCCATATGCCCAACAAACAACGATTTTGTAGTGAAAGCATAAGGTTGCACATCAACATCTGCTCTAGTAACCTTATTCATGAAACTAGATTTACCAACATTTGGATATCCACAAATTAATAATGTACGAGTATTTGGATCTATTGAAGGTAACCGAGCCAAGTGTTGCCGAACTTGTTCCAGATATGATAGGCTATCTTTTTGGCGTTTCATAATGGTAGCCATTCTATTTTATATATATATATATATACGTAAAATGGGATTAATTTGGCATTTTACAGGTGATTTTTAAAAACTTAATGTGATTGCTTATGCTAAAATTTCAAACTAATTAATCTTGAAATTTTTTTGGGATTTTTTTTGTTTTTTATGATTTAGTTGGGATTTAGGATCTAGGATTAGAATGGTTAGTTAAAAGTACAAGTGGGTTTTATATATATAAATAAGAACCCCCAAACTTCAGTACCAGTTTATTTCAGCATAAGCCGTCACGTTTAATGTACATACCTTCCAAGAGCTGCTTTTTTCAATTGCTTGCAGCGATACAATGAATCACCAAATTTTAATAGACGGACATATTCTTTGGCAACTTGATCAATAAGATGACGCGCAATATTAATTTGACCTAAGGCTAATTTGTAATGATCTTTATCATACAATACATTCATTAAATCTGAATAGAATGGATGAATGTCCTATTATAAAAATTATAATCAATCAAAGACAAGTTTCCTAAACATTGATGTAAATATTTATCGTTTATATTAAAATCCTACGTCAAGTTTCGGGAATTCCTCAAGAATGGCATTCAATCTTTCATCGAAACTGTCTTGAGTAAATTTGACTTTGCGCATATAAAATTGCCTTATTCGACCAATTTTATAATTCTTGTGAATTACAGTTGGTGTCTTTCTCTGTGTCTTTGAGAGCACGATATCCAAAAAATCATTTGCCGTAGGAATCGGCTGGATCCGTTTAAAATTATATAAAGCCATGGTTTTAACGTTTAAAAAAGGTAACGATGAAAAAAAAAGATTTATATATTAAAAAAAAATTAGGTTACACCAGATCGGACAGATTCGATTGGTTCATCAAATCATAAAATTCACTAGCCATATCAGATATAACGATAAGATAAGATTCAATTTAATAACGATAATGATCGCATCGAGAGTAAACTTGTCTCCTCTTCAATTGCTCAGTTTTCCTAGAATACTTTTAGATTTATCGAACAGCAAAATATTTTCGAAAGAATTTATCGAAATTCCCAATGTAAAATTGCTATTAATGCTATAGTTATTCTCAACTTCTGGGATAAAATAAAAAATTGTCCGTTCTCGGAAAAATCTCTTCGGTCTTAATCGCACACTTACCAGGAATTAAGTTGTTATCTTCTGACTAAAAGTTCTAAAGATAACGATTAGTTTACGATTCTTAAGGCGAGACCGAAGAATTCTCGGGAATAACAGATTTTCGGTCTCCCAAAATTTATGAAAACATCTATAAGAATGCAATCGAAACTATGTATTCTGAAGAAAGTGGGATGTTTATTGTTAAAACTGTAAAATACATTAATTAATGAATGTTCTCTATACTTGTAAATTAGTGAAATAAGAGCATCGTGTAATGGTAAATATTAATCTTAAGATGGTCAAATATATTGATTGATAAATGTTCTTTATATACGCAGACTAATTAGAGAGCTTTCAGTGGGCTATTGAAGTGACTGTCCAATTAAAATTTAAGATCAGGTGTAACGCAAAAATAACGATAAAGACAATCCCAAAATCGTTCGTATCTCATAAGTTCACCTATTAAACCATCTTCTGCGCACTAGCAAAAAGTTTTTCTCGTGAAATTTTGTTATATATAGTTAGTAATTCTTTCTAACCTAATCTAATAAATAAAACCTAACTTTAGTCTCACAACGAACTTTTTTAGCGGAATTTTTTAGATTGGTAACACTAGGATTCTAACTTTCGAACCTTTGGTTTCGCACTTTCGGCATGATGAATATATCGAAAATATTTCGTAGCACTCGTAGCACCAAAGTACTTCCGGGACAATCTTTATCTTGGAATGACTACTTTATGTTAAGACGGCGGCGGAGAATCGCAGAACGCGTTATCACCATTCCAACCACACTCGGGGGCTTTGGTTTGAGCTTTGCATATGTTGCTACTAGAGAATTCGATCCGACACCAATATTTGGACAAGAACCGATTATTATATATGGTATTGGCACTTTAGTATGTGGCTTGTCAGGCTTATTAATCGGACCAATCCTTGGAAGTTCTCTTTGGAAGATATTTCATCGAGAAGAAGTAAAATTAATGGAGCAGGTAAAATAGAACATGTGATTAGTAATATTTGATATAATTTGAAAATTATGTATTTATCTTATAATCGTTTGAATATTGTTTAGCGAGATCGTGAATTTTATGAGCATGTAAAAAAGAATAGAGCAGATCCATCATTACACACGCTTCGTAATCCAGCACCCGATTATTATGGCGAAAAAATTAAATCAGTTGCAGATTATCGCAAATGGTTAAAAAAACAACGAGAAATAGTGAAGAAGGGAACATTCCACATTGGAGAGGGATCCATATAACCCAAGTATCTGTTTTTGAATGATTGTAGGATTTCGCACGAGCTTTTCAAGATAAGTTAGTACCAATCTAATAATCTTGTCTGTTTTATTTATAATATTTAAAATTCTTACGAATTGTGTGAAAGTGAAAAAAAGTGTCATGCATAGACATATCCAAGAATGGAAATTAATATATAAACTTGAGATTTACATCTTAATATTCATGTATATTCGGAACTTTTCGTGTATTTGCATGAGCGCAATATGCGTGAATGCACCAGTTTATTCATGCATTTAAGTCTTCAGGTTAGAATTAGTATTTCATTATAAATCAATGACTAAAAACAAATATAGGGAAATTCAGATTCGTACAACACGAAATCATTTTTGTGAAGTTTAAGACCAATCTGATTCGTTTCAGCATCAGCCTTCACGTTTATTATCAACTTAGTAAATTCATTAGTTCATAATAATACTATAGTAACAAAAGCTGTCGTTATATATCGATATATACAGTCGGTTTTCTCCAAGCACCTTTATGCTCTCTGAATGTAGGACTTAACTACTAATAAATGATATGATCTCTAAATTGCAGACGTCTTTTGTTCCAGGTATATAAAGATTATACATATTTTTGTTCACTCTAAAATGCGCTTACAGTGACCAGGGTTGAAAACACCATAGTAATTTGCCGGTCATTTACTGCGCCAATTCTTACGTACGTACGTACGTACGTACGTATCGGTATAATTCTAACGCTAATATATCTTAGATCGGACCGCAGACCGTGGATCGATCCAAGTAACACGGACCTTTGCCCAATGACATTAACACATTTTTTTCCATAAATAACGATAATTTATTATGTGCCGCCTGTAACGATAAAATAAACCTCTCATTCGAGGATGGAACCTAGCGAAAAACTTGATGATATGTCTTTGACAGATAAGGATAAATTTTCTAAAGGGCTAATGGCTCTTTTGACTCCCGTTATTGAAGAAATGGATTCTAGGATTGTTGCGGTTAAATCAAGTCAGTTAGAACTAAACAAAGAAATCGAAAGACTATTAGCTGGTATATTGGATCTTATTCCCAAACACGTTCTTTATTCAATAATGGTTAAATATTATAATTAAATGTTCTAATGATAGAGCTTCAACTATTCGTTGATGCAACCGAACAACCTTCAATTCAACCTTCTATTCAAAAATTAATTTCTGCTACAAAGAAACTAGCAACAACAAATGTAACTTTAAAGACTGTTCATTATAGGGTAGAAAAAATGTATGCACAACTAGGTAAAGGTAAAGAAACAGTGAGTTAGATGTGGGTAGGTTTTGCTTATAGGGTGGTAAGCTTTAATATGAATATGTTATTAGGTTTTATACTAATATGATCTAATTTATTTACCAATATATCAAAAATGTAATGTTTTAAATGTATATATACATTCATGTGTGTCAAATGTTATATTCGTACAAATAATATAAACAATTTCTATGAGGTACAATAAAAAAAAAATATGACATGCATGCACATGAACAAATTAAATAATATGAAAACGCTGATATATAAACTTCACAAGCATTGATCCAATGATTCAAATGATTCTTAAATTTTTACCATCCATATTCACCTGTATATTCTTTAGGTTTGTGCTTTGCCAGCTTCTGCTTACGGTTCGAATCTGATGACGGGGGTGGGTATGAACTGGGTGAAGATGATGAGAAAGAATTTGGTGTCTTTCTAGTATAGTTGCCTGTTGTGCCCGTTGTGCCTATTGAACTTTTTTGTTCTTCCACTATTTTCTTTGTTAATTCTTCATCCTTCTTTTCTTGGTTCACTTTTTGTGATCTGTCTTCTTCAACCAATTCTTTTACAATTTTTTCATTTTGTTTTTTATGTTTCTTCTTCTCTTTCTCTTTTTTCTTTCTTTCTTGATCTTCTACCTTTTTTGGTTCTTCTTTCAATTCCCCTTTCGATTCTTCTCCCAAAATAAATTCATTTTTATCCTTAGAAATACTATCATCATCCGATTTATCCAAAAATGACAATATAGACATTAATAAAACGTATTCAAGTCCACGCCGATCTTGAATATTAAGACGATTCATGTTATCGCTCATAATATTCACTGTTCCAACGTTTTTGTTTTTCGGTTGATATAGTGCGATGCACATGTTTGGTTCATCGCCAGACTGCACCATTTTACATTCCAAATCCTTGGAGAAGGCACGTTTTTTCCAGACGAATTTTTCATTTTCCCATCGAAATTTATGTTCAAAACTAAATATTCCTGAATCTTTTAATTCGACACTATCGTCGGGCTGTTATTAATTGAATGATAGCACAATATTAATATTGAAAAAAAAAATGCAATCAAATAAATCATATTTCAACTAAATGTACCTGATATAATAAAATTTTTTTTAATTTCGCTTTTGAACTATCCCCCTGTATTTCTGCTAGAATCACCTCGGTTATTGGCTCAATTAATTTTGAACAATAACCACCTGGAACCTATTATTTGCATTAGAAAGCCTTCAGGTCAAAAACAAAAATGTAATAAAAATTACACGTATAGACCAAGATAATGAATAAGCAAATCAACGAGCTTACTTTCTGTCTAAACTTTTTATGTGTCACTTCATTAGTTGCTAAGTGTTTAATTTCAACTACACCTTTGGTTTCTTTCTTAACTAGTTCATATTTGTTCCAGTCATCATTTTGCATGTTGAATAAAGAAATTTATAAACTCCGACTACTAAAACTTCAAGAAAAAGGTAGAATTTTATATTTAGCATGAGACAAACATCTATTATTAGACATCCATTTATCTTCGTCGTACGTACACGGATTGGTATAGTAACTTAGTGGTGCCAGCATAGCGAACTTAAAATTTGATTGGCTGGACGATCACAATGTTACACAATATGTTTTACATATTAGCGTAACGTTTCGCAGTACAAAAATGGAATTCGCAGCCTCAGGAACAAATTCGCAGAGGTTACGATAAAAAATCTATATAGTATACGCACTGCTCTATAAGCTGTCAAAATAATTCAGCAATCCACGAAATAATTCAGAAGTTAGCTAAGAAGAGTTTTTTTTTAGTTCGTTATTACAGGCAATTGATTAAAGCAGAAATAGACGCAAAATGGCCACACCAAAACCTTACAACGACGAAACTCCTCTTTCAAATGAAAAAAAGGGAAAAAGGAAGGCTCAATACTGTGATCTAGAGAGTCAAGATGATGTCGTTTGTGATTATGAAAAGTTTGGCACATCTCTTGTATCTGATAGAGTTACAATACCAAGTTCAAGCCAACATCTGAACTTGGCCGGCAAAGAATTATGCCGAAAGCATTATAATCGGTTAATAGTAAATCCAAAAAATCAAAAAGCTAACACTTGTTCTCATCCTAAACACGATTTATACAGATCTACAGCAAGAAAAAGTAAAGAAGGAAAGAAGTTAAAGAAAACTTCAGAACGGCTTGTTAAATTTTTTGATTTATTACCGGGAACGAAGATGTGCAATCACTGCCTGTACGAAACTGATAAGGATCCTGAATATGTTGATACGTCGAGTTACCAACAGGCAAAGGAGAGGGGTTTGAAAGAAAATTTAAGGAAATTTGAAGGTAGGTCATATGTTTTGCGTAATGACGTTATTTATTTCGAAGCTCAATTTCAGGAATTGGAGACTGCGTATAACGAAGTATGTGCAGAGCTTGATGAAGCGAAACTAGGTAAGCAAATAAATTTTTTATAATCGTATTATGAAATTTTTTTAATCCTGT